CCTCTTGGTTTTCTAGGAACTAACCTTCTAGCTCCTTATGAAAAACAACAAAACCGTGTGTGTGTGTGTGCGTGTGTGCGTGTGTGTATATATACATGTACAAAAAACAAAAATATGTGTAAATATACTTTCTAAACATAGAAGACTCCATCAAAGAGACTTTCATGCTCCACAGCCATGCTTCTCAGATGACTCCATGGTATCATGTTAAAGACCAGAACTCCATCCATTTTTACAGTAGATTCACCCAATCACAGTTACTAATCAGATTAGCATCGCTTTTATGTCCAACAAATCTTAAAAGTGAAGGGGTCATAACACTACATTTGCATGCCTTGAAGTCTGCATTATTTTACTTGTTGAACTTTTTCTTAAAGGGGTCATCAACAACCCCTGGAAGGCATTATCTTTGTTTTTAAGCTATGCTTAAATTAGGGTGCAGATGCATCATTAAAAATGAAGTTATTAATGTCAGGTGATATAATTAGAATGTTTTAAACTATGCTCCCTAATGCTCCATCAATACAGTTACGCTCCAGTCCTACGTAGATTCTAGTGAGAACACACAGGGACATCCCAGAAAGCTTTCTCAGACAGCTGCATCATGGAAACGTCCTTTATACTTGAGCAATAGAAAGCCTGAAACATTTACCACCAAAGCCGTGCTAATTCTTACATAACTGAAATCAATATGAGAAAATCTATGTGGTTCGACAGGAAATTCCCATGCATTTAAATTTCTGATAACTGAGAGCAAGCACCAGTTAAGTCATTTGGTTTTACTAAATTATATTTTATATCATTATTTTATTTTATGGTTTCTTGCACCCAAAGACAGCAAAGTGTATCTAATTCTATCAGTGGATAAAGAATGCTGTTTAATACTGAAAAAATATTCGGACAAATCAATGGAAGTCAATGTTTGCTTTTGCCAATTATAGGAGGCAAGCAGAGAGCAACATCTCACCTACCTCCTAACCTGCCAAGACCAAACTGGTTCAAATTCCACCTTCTGGTTTCATATTTTGGAGGATATATTAAGAATTGGTCACAACTTTTCAAACCATAATTAAAATTCAGAAAATTAGCTGTATGATGCCTTGGACAACTAGCCCAACCCTCCTTTAAAAAACAGTCAAAGGCTCAGTCTTGTTAATGGAATAAAAAAGGGGGAGAGGCAGAGAGCCTTTGGGGCTGCTTGACAAGAATCTGAGATGGGCCAAGGACAAGGAAATGGGCTGCTTGGCAGGAATCTGACATTATGCTAGAACAAAGAAGTAATCTCAGGCAGGAATCTGAATCTTAGGCTAGAACAAGGAAGTAATTTCAGACAGGAATCTAAATTTTAGGCTAGAACAAGGAAGTAGGCCTCAAACATGAAGATGACCTTGGGCTAAGACAGGGAAGTAGGCTCAGATATTTTGGTCATCCTGATAAGCCCTTAGAAAACAGTGATCACAGGAGTGTGCACGTATTTGGGTTTAATGCTTTGCTTGTTCTTTGACTATTTGTGTTTATTGTCTTGCTTGTTCCCTGACTACTTGCATCTATTGCATTGCCAGTTCCTCAACCTAGAACTGACCTTAATACATACATGTAATTAAAATGGTATAAAAGCATAAAGGAAGAGGGGGGATGGGATAGAAGGTTCTAGGGAGGGGAAAAGGGGAAAGGGGATGACATCTGTATTGTAAATAAGTAAAATATCCAATAAAAAAATAGTCAGAAGTAAATTGTAAGGATCATCAACATGTCTTATCTGCTCTGAAGTCTGGCTCTAAGTTTCATTAAGAAATAGTTTATTTCAATATGTACTCTAATTTTAAACTAATTACAAAGAATATATATATATATACATATATACTCACTATAATATAAGTACATTACTCATTATAAATGAGTAGATAACTATGTATAACATAAATATATTACACATGTTACATTCCTAATATATACTATACAAACATAAATAAATATACTGCATCTACAAATATATATATATGTCTATACCATGACTGTTTGAACAAATAAAACCACTCTGGGGGAAGAGCAGTGTGTTTTTAAGTTTCCCACTAGCACATTCCATTTTCTAGTGTGCTCATGGCAGGACTCAGGGAGAGCGGAAGGAAGCTGGACAGTTAATAGACCATGTCCAGAGATCCCACAAATGAACGATCAGCTTTCAAAGGATTCTAAAGTATCCAGGTGTCTAATAGATTTCCCCATGGCTTATCTATTAAAATTCTAAATGCCAGCAATGACATTCACAGACATGACTGTGCAACCTGGGAGACACAAAAAGACATTCTTTGGGGTGGTCCTAAAAGAATCTTCATCCTTGATCTCTCCAAAAGCTGATGAACCACTAAGCCTTCAAGAAAAATGTGCTTTCAGCCAAAACATGCAGATAATTTTTCTCTGATAAGGCACCTTTGGAGCATTCTAGAAGAGGATAATGTGGGTTACAAATGCTGCCTTAAACCCAGAAAACTCTAAGACTGAAAAAAAAGATGAAGGCTTAAGACAAGCTTCCCAAACACCAGAACTCCAAAGGAGCCAACAAGTATCCAAGCTACCTAAGCAGTAAAGCCATAATGAGAGAAAGCCATCAAGCCAGCTGAGAACTTCAGGAGAAGTACAGAGCCCACCCGGCCAGTGGAGAGATGGGACAGGGTTGGGTTAAGGTTCCAATTGACCATTCACTCCATAACACAGATGAAATAAAACTTCCAATAATCCAGAAGCAAAGGCTGGCCCTCCAAGTCTCAAGGGAAGTTCAAACAAAGAAGAAAGCAAAGTTGAAATGAATACAACCTTGATCCTGATTAAAGCAAACTTCTAGAACTGCAGTGAGTATTTCAGCCTGACCTGAAGCACTGAGAAGGCAGCATGGTCTAAGCGACGTCATCATTGACTTCCTAATTAACCACAGTTAGCACTGTGTCCCTGGCAAGTCCCTAGATCTTAGTCATCCCTCGATACATGCTTTCCTTTACATTAGTGTACTGAAAGTCTACAGCTGTTCACCACAGGTCAGGAAGACTATAAAACAGTGGTTACACATGGTCATCAGTCACTGGTCTTTGCCTTTGCTAGTGTTCCTTAGGTGTGATGGCTGACATTCCCTGCATCAGCCTTCTACAAAGCAAAGAGAAGGAAGACTACACGTTGGTGCATTCACGTCTAGGTCTTCAGTCTGCAACCAGCCACCAAGGGGCTGTGACTAACAGCGAGCATCACCTCTGCATAGTCTCCCTTGGTCTCTTACACCGATCTACTGCTTGCATTTATCTGACCCCTGAAGCAATAAAAGGGATTTTGGTCAAGGTGTTGATGAGAAAACTTGACAGTAAGATTAGGAGGGCAGGAGAGAGGGAGGCCCAAATAAGGAGGAAGCAGGCAAGACAAAATAAGGAGAGAAGAGGGAAGCCCGAAACAGAAGGTTGGTCCTGAAAACAGAAGAATGCTGAAAAACCCGATGAGAGGAAAGGAACAAGCACACAGAGCCTTTACTGGGATCACAGCAAAATTCTAAGCTAAGAAAATTATTCCTGCATTTAATATTAAATCAAAAACACATTACAAATATTTTCTACCTACTGTGCAACTGGCTACCATTTACAGCAAGTAAAACAGATGGTAAAGAACAGCAAGCAACTACCTGTTTTTCTAAATGCAGAAAATGGTCTGTTTTATTTTAATGTTATTTTCTTAGTCATATCTCAGAGTTGCAACACATAGTTTTACATGCATACCTACATTTTACATATATGAATACTAGAACATGCATACTTTTCTAGTATTCTCTGTATAGAAGTATATTTCACCCATTCCACTCCAAAAATGCTAATATTAAGCTTTCTCATTAATAATATCTCAAAAGATTGCAGACTTCATGACTTGCAATTCTATCACAAGAAGTTCATTCTATAAAAGCTAGATTTCCTTTTTTGAAACAAGCTTCAATCAGAACACAGGTGACATGAAAGCCACCACCAAACTGAAATCGCCACCATCATCATTGAACAAGCAGATTCAGGCAAGTCCGCCATGATTGGCTGCCATCTGATCTACAAGTGTGGTGTGATCGACAAACAAAACATTCAAAAGTTGAGGAAGAGGCTGCCACACAAGTCTTCAAGTATGCCTAGGTTTTAGACAAACAGCTGAGAGTGATCATGGTACCACTGTTGACATACCCCTGTGGAAACCTCAGACCAACAAATAGTGTGTCATTGATGCAGAAAGACAGGGAGAATTCATGATGAGGGGGATAGTGGTGGTGGTGGTGATGATGATGATGATGGTGGTGATGATAGGAATATACATAACAGAAGACTGTCCTGTCTGGATTATTGGTGCTGTAGTTGTAAATTTGAAGCTGCTATCTCTAAGAATGGGCAAACTCATGAGCATGCCCATCCAGCTTCCACACTGGGAGTAAAACAAAATGGATTCCACCAAACCATGCTAGAAAGAGATAGGAGGAAGCTAAGGAGGAGCTAGCCCCTATATTTAATTAAATTGCCTACAACCCTGACACAATAGCATTTGTGCCAGCTTCTGGTTAGAATGGTGACAAAAGGCTGGGACAAGTGCTAATGTGCTTTGGGATCAGGGATGGAACTTGGCCTCTAAACATAGTGTGCTCATGGAATCACACTGCTCTCAGCTTTGTCTTATCCCCAAAGTCATCCTTCCCATCATCCTTTGTGTCTGTTTGTCCAGGATACCTATAAAATTATTGCTATAGGTACTGCCCTGTGGTCAATCAGTAGCTGGTGTCCTCAAATTTAACATTCATTCATTGGGCCTTCAGAGCCTCTCAGTGCCGTCTACCACCCCTCAGTGTCATCTCATTCAGTGGTGGAAGGCAGTCTCAGAACTCGCTCTCAATGGGCCTTTTAAGCTCAATCATTTTTATGGCTAATCATTTTATTGGCTATTGATAAAATTTAGAAAGATATACAAGATTGTGTTTAATTATAATATTAAAACAACCTACCCGTAGAAGCGTTGCAGATGTGGCTGTATGTCATATGTACAACAGTAGGTGACAGAGGGAAGAGAGGCTATATCTATGCTCAGTGTTCTGACCTGTGGCCATCTGAATGATTAGTAGCCTAACAACCCCTGAAAAAAAAAGCAAGGCTGAGATGGACCACAAGTCCAGAGCCATACCTTATGCCAGTCTGGCCAGTACAATGAGGATTATAGGAAAGAGGGAAAAGGAGACTCAGAGACAAAGGTTAGAAATCTGAAGGGCTGTCCAGTCAGTACTGCAGCAGTCCCAAGTTTAATTCTCTTGGGCTTTATATACTTTACAGTATCTTAGGAAACAAAGTTACAAGCCAGCAGAGACAGTGGCTGATGTACATTCAATATCTGTACCCACCCGCAGGCCTCCCTATTCCTCCCTGATCCTTCCTTCAAAATTAGCAGAACATTCAGCCCCTGGCCTTGAGCTTCAAGAGCCCTCTTATCATTCCATAGATCAGCAGACAAGGAAATCTGCCTGTAGACCCTGGCCTGGCACAACTCTGCCTGATAGGCAGGCTTTCACAGAAGCAGGCAAAATGGCTCCCAACAACACCTGGGCGGGCCAGACAGGAGAGAGCGAGCCCAAGATACCACTCAGGCAGGTAAGGAACAAGCCCAAGGCAACCACCAGACATGTGTTATGGGGCCCAGATAGGGAGCTAGCCTGAGATGACCACAAGTCCTACTCGAAGGCCCTGGGAGGCAGACAATCCCTGAGATAACCCATGCCGGGTGCTGTAATTCATGAGCAGGGCATAGCACTCCTAAGACCATTCCTGAGATGACCCCAGACACTCAGAGACTCCATGTGCCCCAATGAAAACCAAGTGGTAAAGAAATAGAAGTGAAAGAGAAAGAGAAGGCTGTGGGCACCATGAAGAGAGGCAGAATGTGAGTAGGCAGTGATACCACTTAGGACCATGGTGCGGTCCTGGCCTGTGCTGTCACTGGTGGCCACATATGGGTCCATGGTCCTGCAGCATCAGGGGTCTGTTATCACCAAAGTCCAGGAAGGTTGATGTCTGAGAGTTGTGCAAAACTGGCCCCATCTCTCACCCAAAGCTTGCCCAGCAACTTGTCTCCTGTGTGCCCTCCTCCAATTCCACATTCCTCACCACCTACGGCAGGCAGGAGAGCTGGCCCTGGGGTCATGAGAGTTCAAGAATTGGCCATGCCCCCCACTGGCTGCAACACGTGGGAGAGCAGACTCAGCACCTTTCCTGGGCAGCAGGGTGGAGCTGGTCCTGCTGTGCTGGTGAGCCAGCCAAGGGTATGAGAGCAGGAGAGCTGGCAGGCAGAGCAGCTCAGATAGTTCTCAGGCCTGGATCCAGGAATTTGAACAGCCTCACCTCAACATCTACCCCATCAATGAACTGCCGGAGTGCATGAAGGGCTGGAACTACAGATCCAAAACTACAGGATCTCCACGACACAAGGCAGCGACAGGTAATTTGAGAGGAGTCCCAGAGATGTTCCAGTATTGCTAGAGTAACAGAAGACAGACGCCTCGAACCAGAACAAGGAGTCATTGCAACAAACATTTGCGAGCAAAGAAGTGTGGGGAAAAGGGTGTACTGTGTGGCACACTGTGACACACTACAGCTTCCACAATGAGATTTTTTTTTTTAATCTGTTGTGGGGAGAGGTTGAAAGGGCTGAGAGCAGGTACCAGGGGAGGGGAGATGAGTGGGATTGGGGTGCATGATGGGAAACTCACAAAGAACAATAAAAAGTTTTTAAAATAGTAAATAAAATAGTATACAATGCAAAGAATTATGTTGATTTTTTAAAAATCATGTGGGTATGATGTCAATGACACTTCTATATCACTTTACCATAATGGGTTAAGTCTATTAGCGCATGTGCGGTCTCCATTCATGGATATATACAGATATCATTCTTGGAAATACATACTACGGAGGGAATGAAGCTTCTATTTTTATCTATCACTGACCCGTGCTGGTAAGCAAAAGATAAAGTATCCAAAAGTATTTAATGTCTTTAAATGACACAGGCTTCAGAAAGGTCCTATTTATTTTAGTATTTAGATATGAGAAAGGGTAAACGGCCATCTGTGGGGAAATATGGTTGATTTGACAATGAGATAATGTCTCATGTTAATAAGCAGAGGAGAACTTAGCATGGCCTCTTCAGAGTCTCCTGCATCCCTGTGTTGTCAGGACTGAGAACATTCATTTTTTCTGCTTTTGAAGCCGATGCCTTGAAAAGGAGTATCTTGTGACCTGCTCCGGGGAGGAAAAGCAGGTGAAGAGTGACTGTCCTCCTTCTGCTACTTCCTACGGCTGTCTGCTCCAGGAGGCTTGCTAGAGGAACTCCGGTGAGAAAGGCACCTTTCAGCCTCGCTCTGATTGAAGGTCAGTAGACTGAGAAGTACTTAATAGGCCTGAGGGTTTCTTCTCCACTTCCTTCCTTGTATCACCATGGAGATCGACACTTGCTCTGTCTGGGAGCAAGTATGGCCCTGGAGGAATGACTAACTCAGCGTGGTTGGAAAATGTAGACATTTTCTTTATAGAAAGAGGGAAAGAAAGAAGCCTTGGCAAAGACAAAAGCACTTTACTTTTGCAAAGAGCTTCACAGGATACAAAATATTTTCATTTCCATTATTTTATTTGGTTCTTAAAACAACCCTATGAGGTAAGTAGCAGCTGTTATTTCTATTCTGCCTAAGGAAATTGAGGATCAGAGATGTTAAGTGGTTTGCCTGAAGTCCTCAAATTGTTAAGTAACACAGTCATGATGTGAAGCCTTTGTAAGTTCCATCAAAAGCCATCTTCTCATCCCCATTTAGAAAGAAACATCTGAAACAATCCGAAAGAGCAGTAGGCAGTCTCCTGAACACCATCATCCTGGGACAGAGAATGGAAACTCCACGTGATACTAACACACTAAAAGTGTCTGAGAGATACAGCTCTCCCCCCTTCCCTCTCTTCCTCCCCACCTCTCCCTAAAACATCACTATACTTTATTTCAAAGAGCCTCAGAGAGTCAGGAGTGTTGTCTTAACTTCCAGCCCCTGCCTGGAAAACTGTGACATCTGCAGCTGACTTATCAGTGAGGAAGCTGAAACTTTATTATGACAGACAAACTAGGAAATCTGTTTCTGTACATTGCTAAACAAACAGCTCAAGGAGTAAGCGAGCAAGCAGATCCCAGCTGCTGCTCAGTGTGCGGCCACAGGCCGGCTCTCTCCTCACAGCTTCCTGGTATCCGTCTTTGCCTGTAAGCCGTGTTATGAAATGGTGTGATTTTAATCAGTTTTGACTGCACCTTGCTCTAAAGGTTTACTCAGTGCGGTCCTTAGAGGCACATTACCACTCGGCTCCAGTCCAGGGAAGAGGTCTGGTCTTCATCAGGGTGAGAAAGACAGGCGTGCTTTGTCTCACTGTTCAGAGGCAGAGAAGGACCTAAGACTCAGATGACTACCATGGACTTCGCCCTGTCAAACTGCAGCTACATTGTAAACAGAGCAGTGTGTAATTCAATTCTCTGGTAATGAATTAGCAGAGATATGTCAAAAGACTGGAGGTAGTCTCCAAAATCCTGCTACATTCTCTACAGTGATTTAGTACAAATAAAAGCCCCAGGTCATCAAGAATATTTGGCAAAATCCGGCGCAAATACTGCCCAATATATACATCTTTCTTCCTGTGGATTTCATAGATGTCTCCAGAATCACTGCAGATATTAATATATATTTATTCATTACATATTGCCTAGTCCAGATTATCAATTTGTTATTATACAATGAATAAAATCATAAAGTCTATACTCATAGTCTAAGAGACTGATGACCTTGTGAGTAAAGTGCTTCTTATGCATAATAACCTCAGATAAAATCTCCATCGCCTACATAAAAAGACAGGCATAAAAGCATATGCCTGCTGCCCCAGCACTGAGAAAGCAGAGACAAGCAAATGGGAGGACCTCGCTGGCCACAACCTATCCACAGCCGTGAGCTCTGCATTTAGGGAGAGACACTGCCTCAAAAATAGAGGTGTGGTTGAGGAAGAGATGACATCCTTAGATGAACCGCTGGTTACCATGCATACCCACAAGGACAGAGGCAGCCACACATATACATGTACTATAGACATTCAAAGGTTATCATTTAGCCAATAGTCAGACTAGAAAACAGAATTCAATGTGATTACAAAGTAAGAGAAGTGTGAAGATTGTAAATTAAGTAAGAGACTGCACTAGAAAGTTCGAGTACATTGGTGAGGAAATGATTTTATATAGGATAACCAAGTGTTTATATATAGGATAGAATTTCAGAGGCTTTAAGGCTTAAAGGTTGAAAAGGAGTTAATTATGAGAAATGCACAGAGAGAAGCACCCCAAAATTAATGTCTTGTGTGAAGGTGCGAAAGCTTAATGGAGCTTTAGGGGAGAAGACCAGAGTGGATACAGTGTAACAAAAGGAGGGATGCTGAGATTGGAAAGGTGAATCTAGAACATTCCAGATCTGAGTCTGTAGTCAAACTTGTTATGCTAGTCAAAACGTAAGAGAAAGGAGTTAAGTACTTGAAGCTGAAGACTAGCTTAAAGAAAGGGGGACGGATCACAGATGGTTTCTTAAGCCAAAGTAGCCTGAAGGAAGAATCAATATCGTAAGGTTGTAGAGGGGACGGGGGGCGGGGGACTAAAATCCCACCTCTGTCTATATTAAGTCTGAAATACCTATGAAATACCAAAGAAGAGATATCAAAGATACAGCTAACTATACTGATTCAAAGAAACCTTGCTAAAAATAGAAATGTGAGAGTCACAGATACAGAGATTTTACATAAAGTCATAGAAATAAGTCCTATCTCCAACATAAAAATATTTAAAGAAGACAAGGAACCTATGACCTAATTCTAAAAAAATTTCCCCCAGAAACCCCCTATCCACTCCCCAGTCCTCCTGCTTCTAGAAGGGTGTTCCCGCACCCACCTACTCACACCCCCCCCCGCCCTGGCATTCCCCTACACTGGGGCATCTGAGGCTTCACAGGAACAAGGGTTCCTCTTCCCATTGATGCCCGACAGGCCATCCTCTGCTGCATATGCGGTTGGAGCCATGGGT